GGGACACAGATGTGAAGCTCAACAGTACACAGGCTAAAAGTTGATTTTAATGAAGCTCCACTGGGGATGAATTTAAACCGTTACAAAGAAGCGTTGATCTGGCATTTTACAGCTAGGTTCATGTTTCTTATGCTGAATGCCAATGTTCAGTTCTCAAATGTCAGAGTTGTTTAATTACTTAATTTCACCTTTTAATTTTTGAAAGTTTTAAAAGTGTTGCTAAGGGGCATTCGAGTGGAAAGGGCAAGTCAGGTTTATGTTCATTCTGTTTGCTTTTGTTTGTGTTGAAGTAATGCCTATGTACACGAGTTGCTCCTTACTATACCTCAAATTGGTAAATACACAGTTTGTATATCATATGTCACAAGGGGATGAGGGGCTTACGGCTGCATGTAAGAGATGCTTGCAGGCTAGATCTAATGGACAAGAAGGAGCCTTGGAAGTCTGGAGATACTCTTGGTCAAAGTGATAAGTAGCATTATTGCTGGCTGTGACACTTACGGTCTGCAAACACGACTGTGGGAGGCAGCATTTTATTGTCTATTATGAGCTCTTTTCTGGCCTTTGCAGGCAGTTGAGCAAAACATGAATGTTCACACAAACCACTTTTTATTTCAGCAGCACTGAAGGCAAACATCAAGAAATAGTAACGATTGGGTTTTAGCTTAAGTGCAGGATAGATTTATTGAGATAGGTGCAGGGAAACTGTAGGTGCCTTTTGCTTTTAATGTTACTCAGGATGGGGTGTGCCCACTGTCATACAAGATGTTCCTTCTGTCCACCCATGGCTGTAGAATCTCTGAATTTAAGCAGTGATAAATGGTATTTTTAGTCAAGGAATGGCATAACTTAGAATACATTAAAATTAAAAATATGCATACTTTGATTTTGTCCTTGAAAATTTTCAAGACTTTTGGTGTAGCTCTATTTACTGTAGCTCCCAGGTGGCAACTAACAAGAGATTTGGGCAGCAGACAGTTTTCAGGTCTGTACAGCTTAGAAGTTGGACATTAGGAACAGTTTGTTTTTAAGATGGGTTAACACAGAATTTAAGTCATCCAATCAAACTTAAGGGTTCGGAATCATCTTTAGATATGAGTGCTGAGACAGAATAAAAATGCCAAGATAAGGCATTTCTGAGACCACACAGCTGGCTCCTTTTAGAAGGCTTTTGGCATTCTGTGCAGGTTATCCACAGCAGTCAGCTGTTAGACCTTTATTTCTGCTCTTCTCTTTTCCAGACTCTGTTCTCTTTTCAGTGTCCACTCCGTGCTAGCAGCAAATGTCTACTTGGTGTTTTTCCTGTTTGGAAATCTGTGTCTGCGCAAGGTAGTGTAAAAAAAAAAAGCATCCTCCAGGCTTAGAAATTAGAAAGTTCTTTAAGCATGTTAGACCTGGATTCTGGAGTGTATAGTTTAGACTGATTATTTATTTATTTATTTATTTGGATAATTTTAGAAACACTCAAAAATAATTTGAAAAACATTTCTGTGATCTAGGAAAGGGGCTGTGCTGATTGTTCTTAAAGGTAGCCTGCTCCTCCTCTCCTACCAGAGGCATTTTAGGGAAGCTGATCTCTTTCAGTATGGCAAAATAGCAAGAACCTGAAGTCCATAATGAAGAAATACAGTTTTAGTCTACAAGTTATGCCAAATTTTAGAGGTGATAAATATTTGTAATAGGCTGATGTGCATGGAAAGAACAAACCAGCAATGACCAATGCAATCTCCAGCCCTAATGTATTTTGTGATTGAATCTTCAGTGCTGGATTTTTACTAGAGGCAGTTTTGTTTTTTGCGTACTAAAAATATCTGAGGGATTTGATGTGATCTGTGTAGCAGAACAGTATCTAAATTCCCTAAAACCCTGGAGTTGGTGTTCTGCTGATGCTGTGGTTAGACAATATGCATGAAGGCGCATCTGCCTTGGCTTTTTCCTTCACCCATGACTCTAGTGCTGCAGGGATGGAATTAACAGCATTTCCTAACATGGTGCTGCCAAAAGAAATCATCAATGCAAGGACACTGTTAGGGGTGGGGGCACAAGGACAGATCTGTAAGGTGTCCAGTTGCACAGCACTCCTGCAGAGAGCCTGACACCAGAGCCGTTGCTTCAGGTGGGTATGATCATCTCTTCCATGCTGTTGGGCTTGTCTTGGTGCACTGTGGCAGAATGATCCATGCAATGCTCCTGTGTGTTTGGTTACCCGCAGCACATCCCATTCCTGAGATGTTGCTGAGACTTTGGCCTTGTGCTTGGGACTCCTGGATGCCCTGAAGGCAGAGCAGAATTAGGTATGCCCTTGGTTAACAGATTGGTTAGCCGCAAGCACCAAAAGGACACTGGGGTATGGCTCCAAGCAATGTATGGTAATGCAGGAGTGGCACATTTCCGTCCTGTCTCAGTTTTAATTATGTGGCTTCTTTCTGCTCAAGTGGCTTGCCTTGTGGCAGGAGTGTCAGATTCCATTTCCTCTCTAGTGCTGATAAAGTGGGGCAGTCTCTCTGTAACTTCTGAAAAACTGCTGAATTTTCTGCCCATTTCTGGTCTTTGTTTCCAGGTGGAGGTGTTGGTATAGAATGGGGAGAATTTTACAGCATCGGTTGTCCCATCCTTCCTGCCTTTTATGAGGCAACTCTCCTTCACTCACCCGCAGAGGACACCCACTCTCTGCCTGGTGCTTGCCATGAGGATGGACGGGTTGTTCCTTTTTGCACTACCGCACTTGATTAAATTCTTCATTTAAAATCCCTGGGCTCTCTCTCCAGCTGTAGGTGGCCAGTGGTACAGGCTACCAGGCCAGCTGCTGCTGGCAGGGCTGCCAGAGGGATGTCCTGGGCAGGGAGGGGTGGGTTTCAGTGCAAATGCTAAACTTTTATGTGCCCCAGTTTCCTCTGTAATTACATTAATTAGGGCCTCTGTCACCTCCTCTCTCTGAAGATATAACATAATATTTGTACCTGCCTTCTGTGTGCTTTGGGGAAAAACAGAAGGCAGAAGAAGATAAAGTGATTACATTGGCATGGAGACCTACAGATAATTTTGCTTGAGCAGTCCTGGTTTTGCTGTAAGATTTCTTTGGCTGCAGTAGAGTAGTAATTATTACAATTAATTATGTTTAAATGGACCATGTAATATTTGGAATGGAAGTGGGCGCAGTGTGCTGCGGGAATGGAAATTTAGAGCAGCCTTCCCTGAATGGTAAATTTGTGACACAGTTCAGAAGGCAAGGATTTAGCTGAGACCTGGGTATTGAGATTTTGGGAACATGTGACTTACTCCTGTAAACAACATTGAATTTGACCCACAGTGGGGCCAAGCTTGCCTCCCCAAATTTAACCGGTTTTATTAGTTGTACACAGATCATTGATTTTACCTTGATGCAGTATTTGCAGGGCGCTTACAGTGTTGGTAGTCGTGGAGAGCAATATATGAGGTTTTTTTGCAGGTAATAAAATGGGAAATCCAATTTGCAATTGCAAGGCAAGCCCCTGAGTGATACATGTTCTTCACAGCATCCCTGGTCAGAGGGTTCTGGCTCATCACCACACTGGCCAGCTTCCCTGGCGTAGTGAGCAGTGCCAGCCTGCGCCTGCAGCCAGCACACGCTTAGACTCACCGCTTCTATCTTATTAGGTCCTCTTTGTCACAGTACTTAATCCTTTTTCCTGATCCTTGTTAGAGCAGGGCTGCCGAGGCCCTTAATAAAGCAGACAGGTGCGGGGCTCCTAACGAGGCGTACTGAAGCGTGCGGCAGTGAGGTCGGCTGCTGCTGCCTGACGGGATGGCTCTGTGTGTGTGTGTCTCTGTGTCTGGGGGTGGTGGAGGGATGCTCCCTGCCGCTGTTAGCTCAAGCAAACCTGCTGCAGACAGCTGGCAGATGAGCTTGTTAAGGTAATGGTGACTCGGTGATAGGCTGGCATGAGATGCATGACATCTTTTCACACGGTATAATGCGCTGTCTTTAATTGTGTTAACCCCTTTTAGAGAGAGAAACGCGCCAAGGCTTAGCTGTCATGTGCAGCCAAAGTGGGCAGTCAGCACAGGGCTGAAATCAGGTTGATTTCAGATTTTTCCAATAGCTTGGCTCAGTCAGTCTTCAAAACACTGTGATATATATTTTTTTATCTTGGTTCCCCATGGTTAAGGATTATCTTATTTCTTTTCAGCTGTTGTTGGTTTCTGGAGGGAGGGTAGGCCTCTCTTCATCATGAAATTCACAAAAATAAATTGAGAATGTACCACAGATGTTTTATTTTAATTTAAAGAATACGAGAAAATATTTCAATGGATAGATCTTCCTGGAATTCAGCCCTTTGTACTTATAGTCATTAAGAGTTCCAGTGGAGCATGTACTGTTTTGCGGTTGGGCAGTAAACATTTACAAAACAAACAAACCCCAAACAAGCCCCTAATAGGTCTCTTAAGTCTTCCTGTCAACAGAATAGGTGTAACCAGCATGTTACAAGAACGGGACTGTTTGTTTGTGTTTCTCTCTGTGCTCTAACCACGGATCAGGGTAGGATCTCCGTGCAGACAACACACTGGGCACTGGAAAGCCTGTTGGGCATCACTTGTTGGCATTGTGCGTGGGCCAGAGATGGAAAAGTGCATTGCAAAGCCAAGCTACCACAGAGCAGGCTCCTACCGGGGCATCATTCTCCTTTTGTTCCTGCAGGTCACGCTGGAGAGGGCCCAACACCTATGCACTATCAAATTCTGCTTAAAACTGGTGAATAAATGTCAAATGCAGTGGACTGAGTTCAATCCTGCTGTGCAGTGTGTAGCAGCGCTGAAATGAATAGGGTGGAACTGCATCCACTATGGTGGGAACTACTGTATCCCCCTCTTCCTCTCTGCTAAGACTGAAATATTTGCTTCTATTATGGCCCTACTCTCTGAAATGAATTTAAAGTTTTCATTTTCTCAGCAGGATATTTCTTTCAAATTTTTCATGTTTTAAATATTTTTCATATGCTGTTTTGTTTAATGCCTTTCAGGTAATTTGGATTTGACTGGTCAAAAGCAAGTCTTCAAAGCAGAGAACAATCCCTGGGTTACCCCTATTGCTGACCAGTTCCAGCTGGGAGTCTCTCATGTTTTTGAATACATTCGTTCAGAAACTTATAAGTAGTAAGTATTACATTATATGCTGTAGCTATATTGTTTGGGTTTTTACCCTGTACTGTGTTTGGCAAAGCGTTACCAGGTGCACAGGTCTTTCATAATCCATGCAGGAACTTGGTATTCAGGGGAAATATGCAGCCCTGTACATTTATATTAAGGAATTTTGCCAAGAAGGAGGTAAATAAGTGTCATGTAGACATGTTAGAAAAGCACAAAGACTGTTTGATACTCTCCTGCATTTGATGTTCGTTTCTGTGAGCTATTAAGTAACATGAGAGATGTAAAAGAACAAGCATTACAAGCCTTTTGAGAAGTATTAATCTGAAGTATGCACAGTAAGGTTTTATAGATTGAAATAGATATTTGATTGTTATGTTTTGAGAGATGTCCAGAATTCAAACCTGTTTTGGTCTGGATTGGTTTACAAAACTCTACAACCCTAGTGATTCAATACAGGCACTAGTGCTTTCTTCAGCAGTGTAAATGGAAAAAAATAAGCCATGTGCTGGGACTTCTCCATTTTAATTCAAAATTCCATGTACCAATGCTAAGCATTTGTTTAGGAAATCTTTAATCATTCACTGAATTGAATATTTGTTTTAAGTAAAATGTCCATGTTATCAGTCCACAGTAAAACTTTATATGGGAAGTTATTTTTAGTTGTCTAACAGCAATCTTGGTGCTCTCTTCCTAGGAGCAGTAGATAGTACAGCAATTATACAACCTTCAGATTGGCAAGTTAGTTTTTGCATTTGTCCTTTATTTAAAAATGTTTTAATAATTTAGAAGCATTTCTGACAATCTTTTAAATGGTAACTCTCTGAACAAAATTACCACAGAAGAGTATTCATGAGTGATGTTTGTGGGATTCCAATTAAGTAACTGAGGTGTAAATTTCTATATGAAACTAAATGATCGAGCAGTGGCTCTTATAGGCTGTTCTTCATTTACAGAATTTAAGTGAAAAGAATCACAGATGGGCGAGTGGTTGAAAAAATTGTGTATCTCAGAAGTGTCCTGATATTTATGCTGTAATATGTGTTCTCAAGACAGATTTATTCATAGATTTAAGTAGGCTGCAACACCCTTCTTCCAGTAGTACTCTGTACTACAGGAAACAGCTGCCTATCTCCTCAGACCATCCTTTCTCCACTGCATCTAGGTTTCTTGATAATGTTTAGTAATTTTGTTTTATATTGTCAATTTTACATTTCTGTTTGCTGAGCAATATAGATTAGGGACCCTCATACACTTCTCGCAGAGATCGCTCTGGGCAGCGTGAAGACAGCAAAGTTGCAAGGACTGAAGTGCAGTTTTGATAATTTGACCATATTCAGTTTGGTGGGGGCTGTACTGTATCTATAATTTTTTTTTAAAAAAGTAAAACTTTATAAGCATGGGTGTATATAAAATTGCTGTGGCAATTTTCCTTGTGCAATCAAAATTGACAAAAAGGTTCTGTAATTCATGGGTTATGTCAGCTATTCTTTGTTCTAAATTAGCCATATTATGTTTGTTGTCTTCTTCTTTGCTGAGGCGTAACAGTGTCTTGTTGGCTAATGGGGAGATTTTGATTTTGTCCACAGTAAGTATTTGAAGCCTATATAGTTAACAGTGTAAGCAAAATCAGACTCTAGTCATTAATAGGGAGAAAAATCACAACCAAATAATCTTTCTGTGGCTCATTTATGGCTTCTACTTTGATCTTAGAATCTTATTACATTAAAATGTCATCATTTTCAAAGTTTAGTGATGAAAACCAAATGCATGAAGATGTTAATAATTAGGTGTCGGTTTTATATTTTCAGCATATGACCATTTTATATTTAAATCATAAGTTAAAATTTCTGTATAATTGTGTTATAATCCCAGTAGTAACTTCTTTTGATTCTTGATCTTACTTGTTTC